GGAAAGAGGAAACAGTGTGGAAGGGAGAAATTAGATCCCCTCCTCAAGTTCGAGTGGGTTCCCGCTTCTTTTTTTCAGCTTGTATTACATCTGGGGCTTTTTGCAAAGTAGTAAGTCCAATACATACAATTCCCTGAGCTTCTCCAACCATTCATTTTCTGAGGGCTTGGAAAAGAGAAACACTGCTAGGACAATTCAATTATACCACCCTTCCTTGCATCTTCTATTCTCACAACAGCAGTCATTTCTTTGAAAGCGTTTCCACATGAAAAGAAGCTGTAACTGGGTGTTCATTTCCAAGCTGTAATTTTATACTTTTCATGTGATTTTTCTCATGAAGCATGATATAACATTAGAGAAACCAAAATGTCACCTTTGGGGTTTTTAAAGTTTTGGTGGATTAGGACATAGCTCAATCACTCGATCATATAGGGGGAAAATTATAGAGTTTATCTGTGAATCATTTGGAAAATATTTTTCTTTAAATATAACAATTATTTTCCCTTTGTTTCCCTTCTTTTGCTTCCTGCTGCTGAATCTGAGCAGCAATGCAAATCTCCTGTAGACTGTCAACCCATCTCTTGGATGCTTGCTCTTACCTGTTATAAGCCCTGGGATCACAATGGCAATCTATCATTCTAATTCATTGTCAAATCAAGTTTACAATCCATCACCTTCTCCACTTTGAAATGTTACTACTGAAGAACCAAACAACACAGATAGAAAATGATGCATTGATATATGGCCAACATCTCCTTCCCCATCTGACTGCTAATTAATCAGCAAATACCTGTCAGGGGGTTCATGGCAACATCAGTGCAAGAGAAGGCCCCTAAAGACCTCTGGAATGAGTCATGCTTTCCCAGATCTTTTGAGATTCCATTTTATGTCTTTCATTTAAGCTGGACATCTGAAATGGCTCCATAACTAACACTCACAGAAGGAGGAGTTCAGAAACTTTTATACTATCCTTTGTAGCAGCAGTAAGCTATGTGATATCACAGTGATATTATGATACTACAGTGAAAGTAGCATGAATCCTATTTTCAGCCAAAAAGTACCTTGAATAAGTTGCCTCAGTTTCATCTTCTACATTGTTGGCAAATTTCCAGTTTGCCCTAATTGCCTGTTGATGCAATCCAATAGGCTGCTGAGACAGGTGGGATAAGTGAGGGTGGTGATGATGAGAATAAGGAATACTGCCTTGACTGAGATAGGCATTAGGCTCATTCCATTGTTGTAGTCTTACTTGCTGTTGCCTTAAGGTTTCCAAAGCTAAATTTCCATGAATATGATCTGTAAAAGATTTGGCAGGGGGTTAATCCAGCTTCTATATTTAAGGTATTTGTTCTAGAAATCAGCATTTCATAATATATAACTCCATAAGCAACATTAAACTCCTATGTTACTAAATTTCTCCTTGTCATACAGATAATTTTTACGTCATGCTATCCTGGCTTCCATGGGGCCATTCAGATAACTGAAAAGCTACATGTTCAATCCACATGTGTAAACAGTTTGAAAGGTAGCATTACTAATAAGCACTACATATGGTGACTATAGGCAACTCTGTATTTTACAGTAGTTTCTCATAGGTTTGGTATTGGCTACTCTTTAAAGAATTCTTGCAAACTGAAAGCAGCATACTAGATGGACATTTATGTTATCATCTATCTCTAGAGCTCTATGAATAATGCTAAAAGGGTATAGCGGAGAATGGGCAACGATATGCCACCGCCAGCAGTCACCTACTTCCCATGGCTTTGCATCAGTGTGCCTAGCAGACTAGAAACAAACAGTATCATGAATCAGGACAGCAAATACTGTATGATTCCTCAAGCAAATTATTTCCCTCTCTTCACATTATTTAAAGGAGATATCTCAATACTGTAAAAATTCTGTGTCTTGAAATTCACAATCTTACAAAAACCTAAAATATTTACTTTATTTAAGCACTCTCTTTTTCACTTTAGAATATTTGCCATGGTACCTGTCTGTGGAATGTAGCAATCATACCTACCTAATGGTTCCCCTATAGGCACTCCTGGAGGATTTTCTTCAATGAAGTGGTTTAAATGGGATGGTATCACTGGGTTGTGATGTGCAATGGGTCTCAGAGGGTTAGTGACTTCTTGTAACAGGGATGGGGGGTGCTGTTCTGACATCACAGCATCTACGCCAGGGGAATGAGGTCTGTGTGCAACTGGGTTTTTAAAAAGTGACTGGTTGGGGCCTGTTTGGTAGGCAGGGGAAAGCTGTGATGGTGGCTGTTGTGGCTGCTGATTTAAATGATTATGCTGCTGCACTATCTGGCTTTGCTGTGGATGCATTTGGTTTTGCTGTTCAGGCAAATGATTTTGTTGTTGACTTAACAGGTTTTGTTGCTGCTGTATAGGGTATGGCTGCCTTGGAATCTGGGATAGGTGTTGGAAATGGCGATTAGGAGCAGCATATTGAGTATAGGGAGGGGTGAGGTGAAGATTCAGCTGTCTGGGGTTAAGATTATCTTTACGGTGAAATTTAGAATTAGCATAAGCAGTACTGGAGCGCGACTCCGGGCTTCTACTTTGGGAACTCACTTCTAAGTCAACCTAGAGAAAATTACACAAATTACTTGAGTTAAAAATCAGTTAAGAAAACAAAGCCAACAAAATCCCTGTAAGCTATGAGTGTACTAAACAAATTACTTAAACACTGAAGCAAGCATGTGATAGTGAAAGAATATGGGAAGAATAAGGTGATAACTGGAGAAAAAATACTGTGTGCCTTCACTACATTCTTTCTTTTATTTATGTAACTGAAACACATTCCACTGACACTTCTACTTGAATCATTTACATAACTTCATGCTATTTTTGTGAATCTGGACTTTTTTCTGAGAATAAATGTTTTCAAACCGATTGTGGTGGACAGAATTTATAAAGTTCTCAGGCAGTGTGTCCTTTTTAAATGTCATGTCCAGAGCTTCTTGTCACTCAAATCTTTAATAGACACTACTATTATGGCAGAAATGAATCACCACGTGTTTTCTTATCATATCTAGTTCAGTGAAGCTGATTACAAACAACCATCCAGTGAGAAGCATTTTATTATTTATTTGCAAGGCTTAAACGACTTGCTTTGGACTATATGAATCTCTATTTGGTGACTCAGTCCTTGCTCCTAACTTGGCTCATATAAAGTCACTAGAAAACAGTGTTTGCCAAAAAGAAAGAAAGAAAAGCTGAAGCTCATGTTAATCTGTTTTCTCTATTAGCATGGATAATCTCTTTTGTAGTAAAAGGCAAATTAAATTGTCCAAATGTTGTACCTATAATAACTATGTATTACACACAGTGGGTAAAAGTGGTAAAACAGACACAGTGATTCCAAAAACACAATCAACTAAAAGAAATTAGAATCACAGGAATGAAACTACGAGCACTGAAAAAGTTGGTGAAAATTAAGAGTTTCCCACCATCAGTTTTTGTCAGCAGCAATTCTCTCAGTTCTCGCAGGTTTTAACTAAAGGGTCTCCTACCAAGCTCTGGAAGCATGAGATATTTGATGTGAAGCTTATATGGTAGGCAGGAACAAAAGCCAGAGCAGTTTTTAATGGATGTATCAGGTGATGCTCGGCATGAACACTGAAGCTTCATGAAGATTTCCAGAACTAGATCAGCAGTAGAATCCTAAGCAGAGTCCACTGAAGTCAATGGGCAATGGTTAGGATTGCACTATGTGGCCATGTCTACATCAGGTTCAGCATTTGGTTATAGTCCTTGAGTTGTAGAATTTGGATTGTGTTTATTACTTATTAGGTTTTATATTTCTGAATTTTATGTTATGTCATCACAATGCGATCTTTGATTATCTTTACAAATGCAATATATTTTCATTATTAAGTTGTTATCCCTGGTAATATACCACCCTTGATTCTTAATTCATGTGGAATTACCTCCTTTGTATATGCTTTACATAAAGTGACTACAACGTCACACATATGGTGGATATAGGGGAAAAAATAAGGAAAACACACACCTGTTTGGATTCCATAGGTTTTTTCTCAGGAGTCCGAATTCTATTTATTTCAGGTCCCATACTTGGTTCATTTTTGCCTGAAAGTTTTTATTAATAATATCTTTACTTTCAGTGAACATAAATAACATATACATTCTCACAAACCAGGCTAAATTATTAATATATTTATTAGCCTCAATTAGGAGTCCTTAAATAATAAATAGTCTGGTATTGCTGCTGGCCATACTTAACATTTTCACCCATTTAATTAAATTGTTTACTCTCTGCTGAAACTATCAAGAAAAGATGCAACAAATAAATAATTTATATAAATAAAATTAATGTATATCCCTGTTGCTGAGGGGGAAAACATTGTTCCTACACTAAGCTACACCATTCTCACTCTCATCTGAACAGCAAACCTTACACTATCAATAAGCAAGATGAAATTTAAGGGTGTAGGATCTCAGTGCTCTCAATTGAAAGATAGTGATCCCTGGCCTACATTGTTGTTATTTAAGCACTGCAGCCAAAAGACAGATTTTAGAGGGCTCTGTAATATAATAGCAACAGAAACAACAACAATAGTAAAATTGCATATTTTAGGAAATGATTCCACAAGCTTTCTTTACCAATTTTTATGAAAATATGTTTTAAAAGACAGCACAGAAATGAAAGAAGTGTGTGGATTCACTTTTACAATGACATATATTAAGGAAAACCCCTAGAAAGTCTTTAGGGTTATATACAAAAAAGAACAGGTAGAAGTCATGACAAAGCCCATGCAAATAGATGTTTTGCATTAGTCAATAAGCAGCAGCAATTACATTTGTATCTTTGGATTGGTTGCTTCACATGACTGTACTCAAATGGTGCTGTTATAAGGTCTTGTGGGGTTTTTTTTGCTGATTCTAGCAGAATAGGTCTTGGTTCTATGAAACCATAGCTAAGTTGCAGAACATTTTTAAAAGATAAAATGAGCATAGTGCAAGGACATCTTGAACTCACTAGTCTTTTGCTGATTAGTACTTAACAATTTTGCCAGTCGGGAAAATATCACACACATACAAAGACCTTTATTGGCATAACACAGCAGCAAAGAGAACAATGAAAGGGAAAATATCTAAACAGTCTTCAGTATTCCAGAATATTACTTGAGTCACAAAACAGCTACACAAGGGAACAGAAGTTTGAAGCTAAGAAAACCTAAGGGCTGTTTTCTAGTAAGAAACATTTCATACTTTAACTCTGAAGACCCATGTTATGCATAGCCAGAAACAATGTTTAATGCCTTTAATTTTTGTAATTCTGAACTGCATAGTGGCCATACATGTAATGGGCAGCTAGAACAATAGTGAACTGGTCTGCCATCATCGGTTATATACTGGGATTAAACATGGGTAACTAGTTGGCTTCCTCCATAATTCATGTATTGAAATGGATCTACTGCTATTTATCTCCTTCCAACATTGCCACTATGGGTTACTTCCAAAAATATTCTGTGCTTGCTTACAGATTTTTTTAAAGAAATCCCATGACTGTCTCCATACAGAAACATTAAGTGGGAATTTGATTAAAGCTTTCATAATTTCTGAAATTCACAAATTCATCTTCAGAATATTTATGTACATAACTAATCCTCAGCATTTTTTCCCATTAGTAAGTGCTCATGTGCTCACATTTAGAAAAATAGTGTCTTTTGCTTTTTAAAATACTGACCAATTAATTTTCCAGATTTCTCATTCAGCGCTTCACTCTGAACTCCCAAAGATCCCTCCCAGCCATGGGGCCAACCTGCAGTCCTCAACAACTACCTTCTGGTATTGGACAACCAATAAGAGTGGGACTACCAAAACACAGTGACCTACTCCCAACTCAGCCAGACTCTCCATAAGGATACCATGGTAAATGGTACTGAAAGCGGCTAGAGGGTCCATGAGACTCAATAGAAGTGCACTTCGGTAGGATTCTGAGTAGATCTCCTTAGGATTGCACTGTAAATCTGTGTTGTATGAAAACGTTACAGTGTTCTTCTGCTTTTTAATTTTATAGGCATTTGGCACTATTCATGGCCAAGCTTCAACTGTCAGGTTTGAAGCAACTTTTAGAGGTACAGAACAAGCTTATGTTAAATAAATGTCAATAACTTTTTTTTGTTTTTTTCAGTCACATTATTAAAAGTTGAGGAGAGTGAATTTCCTAATCTAAATTTATTTTTCAGGCATATTTTGCTCTTTACTACTGCTGAGATTACTATGGCAGAAATTAAGGATGACATGTCATATTTGCTTCTGAAATTAGGCCAGCTTTCATGAATTTAAAAAACAGTCTTCTCATGACTATATCCATGAACTAGTTAGTGTCCAATTAACTTCTGAATAACAATATCATCTGGCATAGCATTACGACCGCTCATATGTCTATGATAGTGAGAAATACAAGAAGCTCCTCAGATATGCACCTTGGCACTCTCAGCTCTCAACAAGTGGATAACTCTGCTTTTCAGACTGTTAATGAAGCAGATTTCTGCACAGTATAGCTAAGGAATGTCATCCTTACAGCACAAATGGAATCAAAGCAATTTCAATTTTGATACAGTACTCAGTCCTTCAGCATTAAAATGCTGCCTTGCTCTGAAATAGATTTTATGCTAATAGATAATATGCTAATAAAAATATTATGGAGTTCTATATTTCATGATCGCCCTGTCAAATTTGTTTTTCAATCTAAGCTGTGTATCAGAAGGCAATGAACTTATCAAACACTATATGTCATTTTTATTTGAAAAATAGTTACTTTATGTAATTTTTCAGAATTCAGCATATCTGGAGTGCCCTAGCCTAGAATACACACGAGGCTTTGATGAACAAAAGAATATCTACATGTATTGTTCCTGCTTCATTCTCTTCCAAAATCAGGGTGTACTTTTCATGCAGAACAAGAATCCCCATTGCTCTTGTTGTGTATTTTATAACTCACATAAGAGAGCTGTGCAATCCCTGTGCAATCACATAAGAGAGCTGTGCAAACTCTGTGCGCACATCAGTACCCCAGGCAGTTTTGGTTGTGGTCACTACATGAAGTACCTACTAAAGGAAATAGGAGGAGATCTGTATTTTTTTCTTGTTTGTTTGTTTTGTTTTTGTTCTATGTGTTATGTTGTTGGATATCTGTATAGTGGTTTGTTGATGTTGTTATGTTAAGTTCAGTGTGGAAAATAATAAAAATTATATTAAAAAAGAGAGAGAGAGAGAGAGCTGTGCAATCCCTGCACATGCAGAACTCTGTGCGCACATCAGAACCCCAGGCAGTTTTGGTTGTGGTCACTACATGAAGTTTTGGAATCTTTTAATACTTTTTTATACTTTTATACCTCCAACTAAAAATATTCATTTTGCAATTCCATAGTGATAATGAATTAATCATTGTTCTTCCTTTGAAAACAAGTATAATGTGTATGTCACTGCATTTGCTCTTCTGGCAAAAGCCTGCTTCAGGAGTTCACACCCATCCTAGACAGTGGTCAACCTTCTCTGTTTCTCCCTTCCTTTTGATATTAGGAAAAATGTGAACCAGTGAATTTCTTTCCCAGTGGTAGTATGGGGGGGATCTGATCCCTCTCATAACAAACATGAAGATTTGCACTGCATCGTGCTCATACTAGAAGGAGCACACTAAACAAAAGGACAATAGTGTCTAATTGTGGCTGGTACAAACTGAGATTGCAGGATTTATATTTTTGTGTCATAACATTTTAGTTCCCTGACCTGGATGGCCCAGGATAGCCCAATCTTGTCAGATCTCGGAAGCTAACAAGGGTCGGCCCTGGTCAGTACTTAGACAGGAGACCACCAAGGAATGCACAAGAAGGCAATGGCAAATCACCTCTGAACATCTCCTGCCTTGAAAAACCCTATGGGGGTTCTCCATAAATCGGCTACAATTTGACGGCCCCAGCAAAAAAGTGAGTTCAACTCCTTTCCAGCTCATTAACTGCAAAAATAATGGAGCAGGAGGATATGTTTGCACTCCAAGGAAACAACATTTATGGCAACTTCTCACTACAGGAAGTACTAGCAAAGACACACAGAACAAATATGACTGGGGATTAGGAAATGGCCCAAAGGAGAGGCCCACAATTTGTTTTATTTTAATGGTGTCTTCAACCTTTAATCCAGTCCTTGTGATAAAAAAATAAAAAGAATTCACAAAGTTTTCTCATAAAATGTTATGCTGATAAAACCTAGACATACATAAGTAAGATTCAGGCTCTGAAAAGAGATAATGTGTATAGCTTACACCTCCAGCCCCAGCAAACAAATAAAGATTGAGAAAGCACAGCTCCAAAAGGCTGCAGTCCAGAAGCAGAAGCAAGTTAACCAAAACTATCAAGCAAAGATTTTAAGGAGATGGGTAACTTCTGACTTCTAAAATCATCCGAGTTGCTGGACGGTCCATCTAGCATTAATTTGTTCTCAGCATTCTAAGCCTTCTACTCAGTCTTCATAGAAATATCACAATTTTCTTAGAATGACTGATTTAACAGCAAAATATCCCCCATGATTAGCCCAGCATTTTGAGAACAAAGTATATTTGAGCAGCAAACTGGAAGAAATCATGTAAATTTTTAAATAAAAGGTATAATAACTCACTGTTTCGATTTTGTTCAAGTTGCTCTTTATCTGAATGCTGAATCTGCTGCTGCCCTACATTGACTGGTGAATGATGTCCAAGATTATAAGGGATAGGAGATCCACGTCCATGTGCTTGTAACAGGTTCACATTGTATGCCACAGCTGCTTGATGGGTAATGAGACGAGGATCAACAGCAAACCTACTCTGATACCCTGTCCATGGTACCTGTATAATAAAAAATATATCCAGTAAATACATACGGACAATACATAATCTGTGTCAGTGAAAACAGGATACTCATGCAAGTCACCAAAGTAAAAAGGTAGAAAAGTGCAGGGTGGTGGTGGAGGTATCCTTCCCCCACAAAAGAAAGGTCAGTAGGATGTAGGGTTTGGAAACACAGTTATCTAGGTAGCCTGGGGCGAAATGATCCTTCATTCTAACATATATCACAGCAGTGCTATATAAGTAAATGAACAATAAAATAATTGAATAATAAAATAATATAAAATAAATAAATAAAATGTTATAAACAATTGCATAATTCAAATAAGAGCAGTATTCGACTCATCAAAGGGCCTGGTAAACATGCTAGATTTTAAAACCAGGGAAGCAGAAGTACATCTGTCTTGAAACAGACTGGAAGTTGCTTGGACAAGGAAGGGAATCAAAACAGAAAGTGTTCTGGTGAAGAAACAATTTATGAAAAGATTTCATTATGCTGCCTCCTTAGTAAAGTGAAGACAACAGATGAAAACTGATCAAAAGAAAACGCAAAATGTTCCTATGCATAAATCAACCTATAGAATGTGCTTTAAAGGGAAAGATGTAGAAAGTAACAATAACAGGAATAAATGAGTTCACTGTCCACTGAGTTCACAAAAATATTAAAACAAAAAAACACAACCACAATGCTTGCATGGATCCCCCCCCAGTGTTGCTAGCCAAGTTTTATTTATTTTTTTGTTTAAACAGGGGAGCCAATGATAAAACAGGTTGCTTACCTGTAACTGGTGATCTTCGAGGGGTCATCTGTACATTCACACCCATGGGATTCAGTGTGCACGCGCTGGATTGATCGGTGCTGTAGCAAGCTCTTTCAATGGATTTTCACGCCCAGTCCCCTGGGCATGCGCAGGAACCCCACCGCGCATGCCCAGAGGGGTGGGCGCAGACATCCCGCCAGTTACTTTCTTACCGCTGCGTTGGAAAGACCTTTTCTCCGTCGGTCTCATCGGTTCCATATTTTTGGCTATTTGCCTCACGGCTCTTTGGATTTTTCCTCAGTTATTTTACCTTTTTTGTGTTACTTCTTTGTTATCTACAAAACTTAAAAAAAGAAGAAGACTTTATTTTTCCTGAGGGGGGAAAGTTCCGTTTCCCTCAGCTTGGCCTTCAGGCTCTTACCCCCCTCCCTCTTCTTTCTCCACTACTTTCTTATTCTATGGAGAAAAAGTGGGGTTTTTTCCACCGGTGTCAACGTTGCAGTAGTAAACTCGCACCGCTTGACCGCCACAACCTCTGTATTTTGTGTTTGGGAGAGTCTCACAGACCGGACTCTTGCCAGCACTGTGCCAGATTTTCAAACCAAACCCGAAAAAACAGAGCTGCGCGCCTCAAAGTGGCGCTCCTTGAATCGGCTCTAAATCCTTCCACAACGATGGATTCCGAGAGACCTTCGACCTCGACGGCTCTGGTATCGAGGCCTGCCTTTGACATAGTTCAACCGACGCCAAAGACTCCGGCATCGA